TTTTATTTATGTCTTCAATAGAAGTTGGCACACAAGAGTCCGAGACACTTAAGGAATGGAAATTGATTTTTTAGAATACTGAATTAAAAGTGTTTCTCAATTGACAATATAAAAGATAATTGCGAAAAAAAAAAAAGTGAACGGAAACTTCAAAGCTAACGCTTACTTATAACCATATTTTATTTACATGACATTAAACATGAGTGATTACTTTGCTTATCAAATCAAAAATCTTTTGAATGGAATCTACATTTATATTTACGTAGGTTGCTTTTTATGAAAATAAAATATTTTTAGTTAATCCTCCCCCCCCCCAAAAAAAAGGGCTTAAGCCTAAAACTACAGTTATTGTTCACTGAAGCCAACATTATATAATCTGACCTGTTCAAATTCATCTCACTCTATAAAACTTTTCTGGGGAAGTCGTGCAGAAAGTGTGAAAAAGTAGCTACAATTTGGAGATATGCGGGAACATTTGTCGTTAATTACAATATTATGTATTGTTAGTGGCCAATTCCGCCATCTTTGAAGTCGATTGTTTTTCTTCTGCGCTCGATCCTGGTTGACTCTTAGCAGTGTACCAATAAAATCAGGAGGCCCCAGGCCAAAACCAAGAGACCCTGTTACTTTTAAGTAGATTTATGAACTTTTTTTTATGTGGATATAAAAAGCAAATCGTTGTGTTAAGCTTAGTATCCACTGCAGAACTCTTGCAAAATTAACTCAAACTAAATCGGATACATTATGTCCCCCCCCCCCACTCCCATCCAATTTAATCGATAAGATCCCTAGAATACAGTAGATTTCAAGAAAGAATAATATTCAAGACAGAGGAAGGGGGCATAAACTGCAACAAATATACTTAACGCATATTAACTTTAGACTTCTTTGTGAGAAGGATATATCAGAGTACACTAAACCGGAACCGTATAATATATATAGGACAATCGGTATCTGCGTGAATAGATTTACTTATAATGAAAAAAAAAAATATTTACAGGTAATTTTAGTGCAAATAAGACCTTTTCTGCGACACGGTAAATGCAATTTCATACACTGTGCGAATAAAAATATTATTAATAATAACAACCCCTTGTAATTTTTACATACGCAAACAATGTCTCTGCGTTCAAACACTGCGAATTTATGTTAACTTTAACTCCTTTAAAATCAAGAAAAAAGTATAAATCTCTCTTCCTTAGTTTTTAGGTGCTGTTGCAAAGTATAGTAGGCCAAAACTCCTTATTCTGCAAAATATTGTGGCCTTTATCTCCTGTAAAACAGCAAGAAAGGCACGAATACCACATTTGTGTGTTTAAGTTTGTGCGGGCTTTTGTAGGCTATCTTAGTTCAAAGTTTCGTCTAAATTTGTCGAAATCTGAAGGACCGACAGGCCTAAAGCCTTAAATTTGCACATTTTTTCGATCTATACCCTCTGTAAAATCGCAATAAAAGCGCATATCTGATATTTTCAAATAGTGTGAATTATCGTAAAATGTCTTTCTGCCAATTCTCATTTGGATTGATAGAAGTATAAGGGAACTACAGCCCAAAATATGAGTAAATCTGGAACAAAATGGTGTCTGGAAGAGTGGACGAAAGTATATTCCTTCCAAGACGATCGGCCCAAAATATGAGTAAATCTGGAACAAAATGGTGTCTGGGAGAGTGGACGAAAGTATATTCCTTCCAAGACGATCGGCCCAAAATATGAGTAAATCTGGAACAAAATGGTGTCTGGAAGAGTGGACGAAAGTATATTCCTTCCAAGACGAGCGGCCCAGAAATAAAAGAGTAAGCACAACTGTACTTTTTTAAAAGAAGGAGAAACAACACAGGAAATACGTGTCTCCCTCCTTATGGGGTGGGATACATAAAAATTAATATTTACGAAGAAGAAAGTTTTTAAACCTAGGATCCAAACGTGTGGTGCATAAGATAATTTAAACTAAATACAGTTAAGCCTCTCCTTAGAGGGTTTTATTTGTTAAGACCACCAAACAATCTCATTAGACCAGGGGGGAAATCCCAAGAAATAAAACAAAAATTTAATGAATCATTTAATACTTTACTAAATACAATTGTATATATATAGAGTAAACCACAGCTACTGCCCATAAATTTGTTGTGTCACATTGAAAAAAGAAAATCTCGTTGAACTAGGTTAACCAATCTTTATTAAGTAATAGAGTGACTACATTTCTTTTTTATAGAGAACATTGAAAAGCGTGAGTCTAATTCACAACTTCAGTAACTGGTACTAAATCTAGCCATAAACTCCAGGAAACAACATACGTCGTTTGTTCCTCTTGACAAGCTTCATAAATCTTCGTAGACAAATAAATCAGTCAGGGCAACAAATAATAAACAGGGCTGTTTCATAACACTATAGAGACGTTGCAGCAATTTCATAATTAAAATTAGTCGGGCGTGGCCTTAGAGCTAGCGTGACCGCAAAAACGCACTTCGCACTTTTGGACCGTGAGTGCGCTTTAAGAGTGACAGTCAAATCCAACTAATTCGCTCAGACAAGAGTAGCCTAAGAAATGGTGGTGGTGGTGCTATTGATAAGTTGCCCCCCCCCTCCTTCTCCTATCAGTCCAAAATGAGGTCCCCTATTTGTAGGTAGACAGGATACCTTATAAGTGTGGAAAATCTGATACAAGCATACAAACTGGGTTTGAAACGTGCATTTAAAAATGGCCCGGCATGGACAGGTGGCTAGGGCGCTCGACTCGCAGTCTGCGGGTCGCGGGTTCGAATCCCACAAAACATGCTAGTCCTTTCAGCCGCGGGGGCGTTAAAAAGGTGTCGGTAAATCCCACTATTCGTTGG